GGTGGGGAGGGGTGGTGGGGGGGGGGGGGGGGGGCTCTGATGTGAAAGGGGAGACTCTGATGTGAAAGTGGGGATCCTGATGTGAAATGGGGACTTTGATGTGAAGGGAGGCTCCTGATGTGAAGTGAGGACTTTGATGTGAAGAAGAACTCTGATGTGAAGGGGGGCTCCTGATGTGAGAGGAAGGAAAAAAAGAAAGACATAAGGAGAAAAAAGAAGCATTGAAGAGGAAAATATGAAGGATAGAAAGTTACAATATAAACAAACTGAGGTAGTTAAAAAGTATGAAACAAGAATAAAGTAAGAGAGAAAGAAAGAAAAAAAAAGAAAAGAACAAATGAAGGACAAAACTGGTAAGCGGCACAGACTTCCTATTCCTGTTACAAACCACTCCGTGGAAAACACACAAATAATATTTGTTTACTGACAGGTTCACCTACAGCACATAATTACCACCTGCTGACAGAAGACACAGCGCCATACACACGGAATTCATGAAGAAACATACCTGTTCTGGTTTCAGTCCAGGAGGAATCCATGCATATTCTTCCAGAGCACAGCCGGAGTCGTCATCAGATGTGGAATTCCTCTGAAAGTCAAACATCAACTTGTTCATGGTTTTCTCCATCTCTAGAGGCATCGCTGTGGCACTGTGCTCCTCCCGTGGGCACTTACAATGCAGACAGATCTTCCTGCAGAAAACAAATTCCTCTGTAAGTGTGCCACTCTTCAGCTATTCATTGAAGCTAAGAAACCAAACTACAAACACATTCCCTGGCACAGCGCCCATGGCATCGAGCAAACACGGAGAGCCTGAATCTTTTGATTGTGAAACATCAACATTACCGATAGGACAGGTGCAATAAAGAGGACCTGTATGAAAACAAACACAGAAGCCACTATAGCCTCCTGAATATGTTAGCTGTCTAGCTGGACTATGGACTACTGAAAATGTTAGTTGTCTGGTTGTCATGCTGATCCTCTAATAGGAGTACTTTCTGAGACATGAATCTAGAATAGGCAGTTTTTCTGAAGTCTGTGTTTTTCAAATTTTATTTCATAGTTTTTAAACTGATGTATGACT